TGTTATTTCAATATCTTATTTGAATACATGTTTAATCGCATGTTGTCCATGGAAACACATTTTTTGTGTTTTCATTTTTTGGCCAAATTTATAAACTGAGACCACTGATTTATAAATCAAAAATTTTACCAAACAAGTTTTTATTTGAGTTTTTAAAATTTTTGTAAATATAAACAGAAAATTGAAAACGTAAGTGTTACCAAACAGCACCTTAGCAACCCATAACATGGCCTCGTCTTCCCGTTCAGCTACCCAGAATATGGCCTCTTCGTCCCGTGGTCTGCTCACTCTCTTTCCCGACCTCAACGAGTCAACAAGAGAGATAACTAGTGCGGTGGCCAGTGAACCTAACCAAGCGCCTCTGGTTTTGCGCCGTTGAACTTCCCTATGCGGTCGGTGGAGCAAAAAATGGCAGTGCAAACAGATATTGAGGCCAATCAGTATACTTTGAAGTCATGTGTGGAGACCATGACGGCGGTCACAAACTTGTCGCACCGGCTGCAGAGTAGGACAAATGAGGTGCAGCAGTTAAACTCCCAGCTGGCTCTGCTCCAACGCATGTATAAGGATGCGCGAGCAGAGATAAGTGTGCTAAAGGCAGAAAACAAGGAGCTGAAGCGGAAGGCCACCGTGATGTTCCGATTTGGAGGTCCGCCATACACTGCAGTGGAGGAATATGGGGGAGTGAACGTGCTCGGTGGAGTGGGAAACACGGAGGCAACACCGTCAAGGGCCGCCCAGGACGGAGGCAAGAAGAAGAGACCGGCGGCAGAGTAGAGAAGAAAATCCCTGCCTGTGAATGTGGTTGTTTTGTTTTTGGTTGGTTGTTTGTGTGATTTTTTTTTTCTTTTTTTTTTGTAAAATTATGATCGGGGTTGATCCCCGGCATGAAGAAATGACAAGTTTGTGGAATGTGGTTGGTGTTATTTTGTGTTGTTGTGTTGTTTAATAATAAAAATAAAATAAAATAAAACAATTGATAAAGAAAATAGAGAAAAATATTGGTGGATGGGTCATATGAAAAACATCGGTGTGATTGTTTTTTTCTCTAAAAAAAAAAAGTGGTGTGGTGTAAGGTGGTGGCTTTATTTGAAAGACAAAAGGTAGTGGAGGTAAATATTAAAAGAAAAAGAAAGGAAAAGAGAGGGTTTAAAGGTGGACACTGCCAGTGGAAAACATAAGGGTATTGATTAGGTGATATAATAATGCGAAAAAGATGTTGTGGTGGTGGGAGAGATATATTAAAAAATTGATTAATATTTGTGTCTACTCAAGGCTGCTCCTCTGCAACTCACGTGTTGCACACTCATCTCCACGTGCTTCCTTCTCCTTCCACGCTTGCCGACATCACAAACCACATATAATAATCACCTAGTATGACTGAGCAGAAAACCTCGCAGCAGAGATCACAGGGTGGCATCCTCTGTTGACCACTGAGAGTGAAAAAGCTGGTTGAGAAGTTGAGTGAAGGAAGCCATCCTGGTTTCTCTTCACCCTCAGGTTCAATCGGTTTCATTTTGTATACTACCATGGCAGAGACTCTGAAGAAGGAAGGGGACGTCATGCCAAGTGAACGTGAAGCACAGCATCGTTATGCTCACCGTAGGTGCTGGAGAGGCAAGCTCATCAACAGGTTGTTCCAACTCCAAGTTGATTCAACATTTTGTAGGAATGGGTTTTCTCAGCTCTTGAAGACACTCCCCAACAGCAACCACCTGTCAGTTCTGATCACTGCTCTTCGGAATATGATGAGAACATTCTGGATGATCTCTCTGATTTAGATAGTTGGTCTAAAGATGAGGAAAATACAGATTCTTTGTCCAGTAAGGAGAAGACATTATTGTCTTTAGCAAATATGGGGTGCACAGTGGAAGAGGCTTCAATGGCTCTGAATAGATGTGGTCCAGATGCCTCAATTGCTGAACTAACGGATTCTATATGCGCTGCTCAGATGGCAAACACAACAAATGTCTGCCCACAGGAGCTACCTGATGAGCACGAGCCAAAGCCAAAGCCAAGGCCAAATCATATATATAATGGCAACGGTACCCACAACAATGTTACCCACAAGAGGAAATTTCTTGAAAGTGAATGTTGAATTGGGTTTAGTAGCAGCGGAGTCAAGGTATGTGTAGAGGTCCGGCGGGCGGCCAAGGCGAGGCTGCCGCCCGCCGGTGAAGCAGAATGACTAGGTTGTTAACCTAGCTCTGATACCATGTAAGAAAAATTGATAGAGAGAGAGAGAGCAAGTGAATAAATGAGATGTATTATAATTGATTGATCTAATGTTATATATTACAAATGGTGAGTGGCTCATTATATAGGAGAGGGTGAGTGTAGTAGGTGAGGAGTAGGTGAAGTGGAGGTGGTAGTGGTGTAGTGGAGTAGGTGAGGTGGTAGTGGTGTAGTGGGTTAGGTTTAGTGGAGTAGGTTTAAGTGGGTGAAGTAGGTGATAGGTTTTAACAGGTCCATTGCTAAGAAGCACGGACACTTCTAAGAAGGTGACATATTCGTGTCGTGTCCGTGTCGGACACCGACACTCTTTGGACACTCTTAGGACACGTGTCCGACACTCTTCAAAACGTGTCCTAATTTTTAAATTTTTTTAAAGACCCGGACACTCTTTGGACACTTGAAAGGCACTCATGTCAATCACATAAACACATGTGTCTATCAATTGGACACATATGAAACTAATTATAAGTTTAAACAAAATAACTTAAGATACAATAATAAAACAAAAATCATATAAATTTGTAGGAATTAGTATCATATTGCATTTTGTATTATCTTTGAATGATATATTAATGTATATAACATATAATAAATATATAAAATTACATATTTCACGCGTGTCTCCCACGTGTCGTGTCCTTTATTTTTTGAAAATTAACGTGTCGGTGTGTCTGTGTCGTATCCGTGTCGTGTCACGTGTCCGTGTCCATGCTTCTTAGGTCCATTGTAAATGGACATTGAACTGAAGATGTTCAAGTAGTGATACAAAGTTCACTTAATTGGTTGCATGGATGTGACTAAATTAGCTCTCTATGGTGGATAAAATTTAAATTTACCAAATTTCACCAGTTTTATTTTGTTACCATTATTCTACTTTACATAACTGTTATATTGTACTTTACCACAAAAAAGAAAAAAAAAACAAGAAGCTGTTAAATTGTTAATCACCAACTGTCTAGCATCTTTTACATGATTTGGCAGTTAACCTTCCAATATTATTATGGTTCACCTTTTTGGAATGATCAGTTTAATTTCTAATGGGTTTTTCCAAATATTTTCATGTGCCAGTGGGGCAACTGATTATGTTCAAAATGGGATCAATTTTACAATCAGTTACGATCAGAATGGTTGGATGATCATTGGGGTTCTATAACCATCAAATCTGTGGTCTGGGGCAACTGATTATGTTCAAAATGGGATCAATTTTACAATCAGTTACGATCAGAATGGCTGGATGATCATTGGGGTTCTATAACCATCGAATCTGTGCCCTTCCCCAATTCCCCCTTGTTTCCCATATACTTTCTGGAGTCTTTAAACTAGATTGAAATTGGTTGGCTGAAAAGCTTTAAATTGAGATGAGTTGTCAGATGCCTTGTATCTTTGCTATGGGTCTATTAAACTTATATTTCTTTAATTCTTTTGTCTATGAGTGTTGCAAGATTTGATCATGTAACAGTTAGAAGGAATTGGGTGGTTGAGACTTGAGACATACTTTTAAAATGAGAAATGGACAAACTTACTTTGTGTCTAAAGGCTTGGAATTTAGTTTGCTGTCAATGTACTAAAGATGTATCTTGTGGCTAATTGTTTTTTTCGCTTAAAATATTTTGGTACAGTTTCTTATTCACTTGCTTGTTCTTGAAAACGTTAATGGTTATTTGTGCTCAAACACTGTAATCTTTTCAGAAATCTTGTATGCTGTTGTTTCATGGAGTTCTTCTTTCGGTGTGCTAGGTTGACCCAGAACTTGCTAAGGCTGAAGCTGACAAGGTTGAAGATGATGAAGACTTAAGGAAGAAGCTCTGGCTCATGGTTGCCAAACATGTTGTTGAACAAGAAAAGGGAACTAAAAGGGAAAACATTCGAAAAGCAATAGCATTTCTCAAGGAAACTGACGGGCTGCTAAAAATTGAGGATATTTTGCCCTTCTTTCCGGACTTTGCCTTGATTGATGACTTTAAGGTAACACTTTTTTACCTTTGTTTTTCACTTATAACTAGGCTAACATTTGTTTTCATGGAAGGAAATACTGAGTGCTAGATTTTGTTCTTATTTATTTATTTGTTGCTATCACAATATCAAATTGTTGTGCTGCAATCAATGTAGTACTACATGTTCTAGTCATTGCATAGGCTTCCTTTCTTTATAATAGTGCCAAGTGCTCGTTTCTCATATAAACTTCAGAGGTTGCAATGTCTAAAAACAGTTTTATAACTGTATATTTTTTGAAATACATTATATGAAAAAATATCAATTTCGTAACTGTATCAATAGTTACTTTCATATTCCCTTTCTATATTCAATAAATTAAAAAGGTAAGTTTGTGTTTTGCAATATTAGGCTACCATTTTCTCTAGGTCACTTGTGGGGGACTGCAATTGGAATCATCACGAGAGAACGCAGGAATAATTTGTGAAAAGAACAATCACAAATATTTCTGTTTTGATTCGTATAGCATATAGTGGTGGCGACTAGGGGTCGCGGGGAGGCGCTAGTTGTGGCAATTGCATGAAGGGCAGGGAGGGGCTGGGGTTGGCCGGAGGGTTGGTGGTGGTAGGGCAGAGTCGCGCAGTGGTGGCCAGCAAGGGATGGTCAGTGTCAATTGTTGGAGAGGGAAGAGCAGGAGAGAAGAGGATGAAGGAAAATGAGAGTAGCTTGGTCAATTCAAGTAGTAGTTTCCACCCCTCGTTAATTATTTTTCCTTCTTCGCACCAGTATTACAATTTAAAAGCTCTTCTCTGATTTGAGATTATATTTCCTAATTCCAACTTATTTGTAATTTTCCCTTCTCTCTCTCTTTTTTTCCTAATGGATCACCCTTGGGTAAGGGTCAACCCTAGGTTGCCCATGAGAACTACTTAGAAAATATGAAGAAGAAGAACTCCGAAAATATGAGGAAGTTGACATGCTATGATGTATGTGCATTGTGAAAAAAATCTCTCTTTTTATTTGAATAGCTATGTGCCAAACCACATGTATCTGCTGCAAACTGTTTTTCCAATGCTTCCTGTGGGCATATGCTAAACTGTCTTCATCATCTGTCATTCAATTAAATTCTTTGATATGTTTTTAGGAGGCAATTTGCTCATCATTAGAGGATTACAACAAGCAAATTGAACAACTAAAACAGGAGATGAACGATGCAACACACGGTGCTGATAACATTAGAAATGATATCAGTGCACTTGCTCAACGATATGCTGTCATTGATTGTGACGAGGACTGTGGGGTAACAATATTCTTGATGTTATTTGCTATAGATCTTTCTTTCTTTTTTTTTTTCTTCTAATGAACTATTATTTGCAAGAGATTGGAAATGTAATCTTTTACTTTAAGTTTGCTAGCCTTTGAAATGCTCCAAGTAGTTCCTCGGGATTTTTTATTTTAATTAGTACTAGTTTGTTAGGAATCTCTCAGTAGAAAAACTTGTCTATTTTATTTGTGTTCATTTTAGAGATATTTTTTCTTTCCTATTTTCTCTTTCAAGTAGGTTGATTTTTGGCTTGAGTAATTTTATAGTACTATACTGGAGCCTAGGAAGCACGGATATGGATATGGGTACGATACGATACGGATACGACGATACGGCAAAATTTGAAAAACTAGGATACAGGTATGGCGGGGATACGTTCGTAAAAAATGTTATTTTTACAATTTTTAGTAATGTAGCATGCATAAAAATAAAACTTAAAGAAAAAATTTCAGCAATTTCAGCAATTCCAAAAATTCAAAAATTCAATAAAATTTCAGCAATTCAACAATTCAAAAAAAAAAAATTAAAAAAAAAATATTAATGTAGTTAACCCTTTCAATAATAAAAAAAAAAAAACCGCACAAGGCTCCCTTGATGTTGTCTTTTGAGAAAATAAAAAGTGGGTACTAGTAGCTTAGCTTAGTTGCAAAAAAAAAAAAAAAAAAAAAAAAAATCAAAGGGGTTAGTTTAGTATAGTGAGAGGGAGAGACAGTGAGACTGAGTGAGACAGAGAGAGTGAGAGGGAGAGAGAGACCGAGTGAGAGGGAGAGAGAGTGAGATTGAGTGAAATTGAGCGAGAGGAGAGGAGAGGAGAGATCGAGCAAGAGGGAGAGGGAGATAGAGAGAGAGAGAGGGAAAGATCGAGTGATAGAGACAGAAAAGCGAGAGAGTGAGAGTGAGCACGAGAGAGAGCGAGCTAGAGCGTGAGAATGAGAATGAGAGTGAGAGTGAGAGCAAGGGAGGATGAACCTTGATCGACTCCTCCTCCTCCTCCTTGCTGCTGTTCGAGAATGGCGAATGGCGAATGACGACTCCTTGATTGAGTGACAGAGACGACGACGACGACTCTTGCTCTGTTCGAGTTGTTGCTGCTTTGAGCTAGGGTTTGTTTTATTTTTTATAACTTTTGTTATTTTACACTTTGATCCATTATAAGTTTGTAAATTTTTTTTTCCCCCCCGCCGTATCCCGAAAGTATCCCAAGCGTATCCCTAAAGTATCCTCACTTATCCCATATGTATCTGAATTTTTAAAAAAAAATAAAATAAAATTGGATACTTCTTTGCCGTATCTAATATATATTCCGCCGTATTGGACGCGTATCCGTATCCGATACATATCCGACATGCGTACGGGGGCCATTTCTCAGCATCTGTGCTTCATAGACCGGAGCAATAAGAACTTCTAATGCACAATTGGTATTCTAGGAAATCCCCCCCACCCGCCCAGCGCCCGATTATTGTTTCAATTTCTTTGTCATCATATTTAGTTGACTTTCATCATTAGTTGACTTGTTGCATCTGTTTATTACTTGCGAGTTTCAGGTTTGTCAGAGGAAGATTCTAACTGCAAGTTGGGACCATCGGATGGCTAGGGGTTATACATCAGTAGGTGCAATGGCCCCTTTCTATGTCTTTCCATGTGGACATGCCTTCCATGCTCAATGCCTGATTGCCCATGTCACAAGGTGTACCCACCGAGATCAAGTAAGCTCTAGAATGATTTCATATACATTTATGTATATTTGTAAAGCTGATTGGGTGTTGATCCATATATCGTTGCTTTAAGTAATTTCATGGTTAAAGTGGCAATGCATGACAATAGGAGGTATTAAGATCCATTAAATCTTATGCTTAACTACACTTGGTACTTGCTCTTGCAAATGTACCACTTAGAACTTAGTTAATATCCTCAAAATGGGGTATACTAAAGCAACATTGGCGGCCTACAACAAATTTGGTTTGCAGTGGTTGTTAAAAATAAAATTAGAAAGTTTTAATATGTTCTCATCATCTTGACAACAAATAGTTTTATTAAAATTGATTAAAAAAAATGCGACTAATTTAACACTTTGCCATCAGATGGGAAATAGAATGGCATATGATAACCCATTGTTCAACCCTTGCTCCCCCGGGGGGGAGGGCGGCTCTTTGCTGGTGGCCTTCTTGCCCTGGGTGTAGGTGAATCCTTGAACAAAAAGTCTGAAATGTATTCTACCTTTTAAAATAATGACAATAAATTCGTATTGCATCTGTAAATCTTGCATTTTGCATCACTTATACTCATTATACCAGTGCGAAGGTCATGTATCCATTGAGGTGATCCTAGCTTTTTCTGGTAATGCCTGATTTAGTCATCATATGGCCTATAAGCTAGTTTTGGTTGTCTTACAAATGCCAAACAGAAGCTTATCCAGAAGGGCTCATAGCATCCCACTCACAGCCCAAAACATAAGTATGAAATTGGCACCAGTGATACAATTTTAAATCTTAGTTCTGCATATGCCGATTAAGCTGATATGACTATGTCCTTAACTAGATCAAAAGAAAAATGTGGTTACATTAGGGGTGTACACGGGTTGGGTCGGGTTCACCCTAAACCCATCAATCGAACTGAATGTATCGGGTTCATGTTTATCTCAACCGATTTCGATCCATTTTGATTCGAAACCGTATCTTTCCTTAACTGAAATCAACAGTCGGTTAAGGTCAGTTTTGACAACATATGCATACAACACAAAAAATAGAGTTAAGATGTAGACAAAGATTCCAACGACGGTAATGGTTTGAGGGGACATCTGTGATGCGGTTTCGAGGGAGAAGATTGTAGGGTAGCGAGATTTGAGACCAAAGAAAGATAGATGGTATGAGGGAGATCAGAATTGATAACATGATCCATCACCACCACTAGTTGACCACTGTGATTCATCTGAAGCTTGAGTAACCAGCTTAGGGTTTGATAGAATATCATCCCCTATTTATAAATGAAGATTAGGGTTTACAAGATGAGACAATTACAAGTCGAGCCCTGAGGGCATAGAATGATTTCATATACATTTATGTATATTTGTAAAGCTGATTGGGTGTTGATCCATATATCGTTGCTTTAAGTAATTTCATGTTTAAAGTGGCAATGCATGACAATAGGAGGTATTAAGATCCATTAAATCTTATGCTTAACTACACTTGGTACTTGCTCTTGCAAATGTACCACTTAGAACTTAGTTAATATCCTCAAAGATGGGGTATACTCTAAGAAGCATGGACACGGACACGTGACACGACACGGATACGACACAGACACACCGACACGTTAATTTTCAAAAAATAAAGGACACGACACGTGGGAGACACGCGTGAAATATGTAATTTTATATATTTATTATATGTTATATATATTAATATATCATTCAAAGATAATACAAAATGCAATATGATACTAATTCCTACAAATTTATATGATTTTTGTTTTATTATTGTATCTTAAGTTATTTTGTTTAAACTTATAATTAGTTTCATATGTGTCCAATCGATAGACACGTGTGTTTATGTGATTGACATGTGTGTCTTTCAAGTGTCCAAAGAGTGTCCGGGTCTTTAAAAAAATTTAAAAATTAGGACACGTTTTGAAGAGTGTCGGACACGTGTCCTAAGAGTGTCCAAAGAGTGTCGGTGTCCGACATGGACACGACACGACACGAATATGTCACCTTCTTAGAAGTGTCCGTGCTTCTTAGGGTATACTAAAGCAACATTGGCGGCCTACAACAAATTTGGTTTGCAGTGGTGGTTAAAAATAAAACTAGAAAGTTTTAATATGTTCTCATCATCTTGACAACAAATAGTTTTATTAAAATTGATTAAAAAAAATGTGACTAATTTAACACTTTGCCATCAGACGGGAAATAGAATGGCATATGATAACCCATTGTTCAACCCTTGCTCCCCCGGGGGGAGGGCGGCTCTTTGCTGGTGGCCTCCTTGCCCTGGGTGTAGGTGAATCCTTGAACAAAAAGTCTGAAATGCATTCTACCTTTTAAAATAATGACAATAAATTCGTATTGCATCTGTAAATCTTGCATTTTGCATCACTCATACTCATTATACCAGTGCAAAGGTCATGTATCCATTGAGGTGATCCTAGCTTTTTCTGGTAATGCCCGATTTAGTCATCATATGGCCTATAAGCTAGTTTTGGTTGTCTTACAAATGCCAAACAGAAGCTTATCTAGAAGGGCTCATAGCGTCCCACTTACAGCCCAAAACATAAGTATCAAATTGGCACCAGTGATACAATTTTAAATCTTAGTTCTGCATATGCCGATTAAGCTGATATGACTATGTCCTTAACTAGATCAAAAGAAAAATGTGGTTACATTAGGGGTGTGCACGGGTTGGGTCGGGTCGGGTTCACCCTAAACCCATCAACCGAACTGAATGTATCGGGTTCATGTTTATCTCAACCGATTTCGATCCATTTTGATTCGAAACCGTATCTTTCCTTAATTGAAGTCAGCAGTCGGTTAAGGTCAGTTTTGACAACATATGCATACAACACAAAAAATAGAGGAGTTAAGATGTAGACAAAGATTCCAACGACAGTAGTGGTTTGAGGGAACATTTGTGATGGGGTTTCGAGGGAGAAGATTGTAGGGTAGCGAGATTTGAGACCAAAGAAAGATAGATGGTATGAGGGAGATCAGAATTGATAACATGATTCATCACCACCACCAGTTGACCACTGTGATTCATCTGAAGCTTGAGTAACCAGCTTAGGGTTTGATAGAATATCATTCCCTATTTATAAATGAAGATTAGGGTTTACAAGATGAGACAATTACAAGTCGAGCCCTGAGGGCATAGACTAATTACAAACCACAAAAGCTCAGATTATAATATAATATGCTAACACTCCCCCTCAAGCTGGTGCGAAGATATCTCTCATGCCCAACTTGCCTAATATGTCATGAAATGACTTATTCCCAACCCCCTTGGTGAGAATGTCAGCAAGTTGTTCACCAGACGGGACAAAAGGAGTACAAATGGTACCACTAGTGAGTTTCTCTTTAATGAAGTGGCGATCAATCTCAACATGTTTTGTCCTGTCATGTTGAACTGGATTGTGAGCGATGTTGATGGCGGCCTTATTATCACAGCATAACTGCATGGAGTCCGTCTGATCAATACCTAGATCACTCAACAATAATTTGATCCATAAAAGTTCACACACACTTTGTGCCATAGCTCTAAACTCAGCTTCTGCACTTGACCTGCCAATCACATTTTGTTTCTTACTCCTCCAAGTAACTAGGTTGCCTCCAACAAAGATGCAATACCCTGAAGTCGATCTCCTATCAGTTACTGATCCAGCCCAATCAGCATCTGTATAGGCTTCCACATGAAGATGATCATACTTTGAAAAATAAAGACCCTTACCAGGAGCAGACTTCAAGTACCTCAAGATTCTCATGACAGCCTCAAAGTGAATCTGATGAGGAGCATGCATAAACTGACTAACCACACTGACAGCAACAGCAATATCAGGACGGGAGTGAGATAGGTAAATGAGCTTACCCACTAATAGCTCTCCCTATCAACAGCTTCTCCTCCTTCATCATCCCCCAATTTCTGATTGGGTTCTAGTGGAGTGGCACATGCCTTGCAGCCAAGCATCCCAGTTTCCTTTAATAGGTCAAGCACATATTTTCTCTATGAGATAAATATCCCATCCTTAGAGCGAGCAACTTCAATTCTCAGAAAATACTTCAAGCTTTCCAAGTCTTTGATTTCAAACTCATTAGCTAAATATTTCTTCAACAGAGGTATTTTCCCACTATCATTGGCTGTAAGAACTATGTCATCTACATAAACAACAAGTGCTGTAGTCTTATCACGTGAGGAATGTTTCACAAACAAGGTGTGATCTGCCTGACTCTGTTTGAAGCTATATTTAAACATAGCCTGAGTGAATCTCTCAAACCAAGCCCTTGGAGACTGTTTGAGACCATATAATGACTTCCGAAGCTTGCATACTTTGCCTTCTGTCTGATGATCCTCAAAATCAGGAGGAATGTCCATATATACCTTTTCTTCGAGGTCACCATGGAGAAAGGCATTCTTGACATCAAACTGATAAAGCGGCCAATCTAGATTAGCTGCTAGAGAGAGAAGTACTCTGACTGAATTCATCTTAGCCACGGGTGCGAAGGTCTCTTGATAATCAATGCCATATGTCTGAGTAAACCCTTTTGCCACAAGTCTTGCCTTGTAACGCTCAATAGACCCATCTGCTTTGTGTTTCACAGTATATACCCATTTACATCCCATAGGTCGTTTGCTCGTAGGTAACTCAATCAATTCCCAAGTGCCATTCTTCCTAAGTGCTTTCATTTCCTCAATCATGGCTAGTTTCTACTCAGATGTAGCAAGAGCATCTTGAAAATGGTTAGGAATGCTAACAGAGGAAATATTGAACACAAACGCTCTATATGAGAATGACAAATGAGAGTAGGACACAAACTGTGAGATAGGATGTTGAGTACAAGATTTCACACCCTTCCTCTTGGCAATAGGAATATCAAGATCAATGGACTCAAGAGATTCAAAGTTACCTAGACTCTCATCAGAAGCAGGAGATGGCAGTGGAGGAGCAGAAGTGGTCCCTTGTATCCAGTTAACTTGTTGTCTGTCTATGTCCCGGACATAAACATGCCCGTCCTTATCCTTAGTGACATTGGGTTCTATAGTCCCAGTAGAAGAGGGTGGTGCAAGAACAACCGGTTCCACCATAGGAAGCATAGTAAAGGAGGGTGGTGCAAGAACAATTGGGTCCACCATAGGAAGCACAAGACTCACTTCACACCAAGGCTCCCCCGAAAATGAGGACGGTGACACCGGAGAGGACAAGAAATAGGACTGGGACTCAAAGAAAGTAACATCTATGGACACAAACCACTTACAAGAAGAAGGGTGGTAACATTTATACCCCTTTTGAGTAGGAGAGTAACCAAGGAAAACACACTTGAGAGAGCGAGGGTCCAACTTACCACGAGAAGGAGAGTGATTATGAACAAAACAGACACAACCAAAAATTTTGGGAGGAATAGCAAACAAGGACTGAGAACCTAGGAGGACGTGAAGAGGAGCTTGTTTTTGCAAGACCTAGGTAGGGAGACGATTAATAAGATGGGTAGCGGTGAGAACAGCGTCGCCCCAATAGGGCCGAGGTACACTCATAGAAAAACACATGCACCAAGCCATGTCAAGAAGATGCCGATTCGTGCGCTCCGCCATCCCATTTTGTTGAGGGGTATTGGTGCAAGATGTCTGATGGATAATGCCATGAGAAGAGAAATATTGTCCTAACTCAGAATCTATGTATTCCCCGCCATTATCAGAACGAAATAGTTTGACAGTGGCCCCAAACTGAGTACAAATCATCTTATGAAAAGTGCGAAACACAGAGAAAACCTCACTCTTATCTTTCATGAGATACACCCAAGTAGTACGAGAAAAATCATCAATAAATGTAACAAACCATCGATGACCTTTTACAGACATAACACGAGGACCCCAAACATCAGAATGTATTAATGAAAAAGGAACTAAACTTTTATTCAAACTGGGAGCAAAATAAGCTCTGTGTTGTTTTTCAAGTTGACAAGACTCACAAAGAAAGTCAGACACATGATGATTTGTGAAACCAGATGGAAATAAATGCTTAAGTAAATAAAAGGAAGGATGCCCAAGACGCCGATGCCACAGCCATAAATCAGCGGGGGTAATAGAAGACGTGGTGGAAGAATAAGCAAGTTTGTCTGGTAGATCCAGGAAGTAAAGACCATTTTCTGCACTACCACTGCCAATCGTCCTTCTTGTGACAAGGTCCTGAAAAAGACAATGATCAGGAAAAATACATCACACTACAATTCAAATCCTGGGTAAGACGACTCAAGGATAACAGATTAACAGAAAAATTGGGAACATGGAGAACAGAAGATAGATGTATGGTAGGAGTGACTTGGACGAAACCTTTTCTAGAAATGGAAGAAACAGTACCATCGGCAATCCTAACTTTGTCCTGACCTAAAGAGGGCTTATAGATAGAGAAAAGATCAGAGGAGCCAGACATATGATCGGAGGCACCGGAATCAATAATTCAAGGCAAAGACTTATGACATAGGAAAGCACAAGGAGAAGAGGCTAAGTTACTTGAGCGGGCAAAGGACGAGGAAGCTGTACTGAGAGCAGTAGAAGACCGGCGGTCCAACAATTGGCGCAAAGCATCCTCTAGCTCAGTATCAGAAGCTTGGCCAACAGAAGCAGAATTAGAATCAAGTGTATCAATGGCACTCGACTGATGTGCCCAGGAATAGGAACCACGTCCTCTAGACTGGCCTGACCGACCTCTTCGAGAACCAGACCGATCACTTCGACCCCCGGATGGAGTCCCATGAAGCTTCCAACACGTCTCACTAGTATGCCGCGGCTTCTTGCAATAATCACAGAATACAGACTCCTTAGCAGCAGACTGAGGGATGGGAGTCAGGCTGAGACCATCTCGAGGAGTAGACAATAATGCTGAGTGATCAGTAGAGACAGGGGACATCATAGCAGACTGGCAACTCTCCTCATTCTGTACATAGGCAAATGCCTCCTGAAGTGAAGGAAGAGTGTCCATACCCAGAACTCGACCCCTAACTGGATCATATTCTACATTTAGGCCTGCCAGAAATTTAAAGACTCGTTCCCGTGCGATGAACTTCTTGTACTCGACAGAATTAGCAGGGCAAACGGGCTTATAGTCTTCCAGGTGGTCAAGGCGTTTCCAGCCGTTGGTGAGGAAAGTGAAATACTGAAGAACAGTCTGCTCCTCTTGAAATGAGCTCTCAATAGAGCGGCGCAACTCAAATGCCTGTGAGAAATTCCCTTTGCGGAAATCGGTGGCAGCCACAGCCTCCCAAACATCCTGGGCAGTCTCCATAGACAAGTAGCCCTCACCAATTTCAGGAACCATCGAATGAATAAGCCAACCCATAATCAAAGAGTTGGTAATCTCCCATTGGTCAAAACCCGAGTCAGTGGTACTAGGTACCTGTATCCTGCTATCAACATACCCCATCTTCCCTCGGCTCTTCAAAAATATAGTCAAACTTTATGCTAGGTAGTTCTGACCATTAAATAGAGAGGAGGTGATTTTCAAACTAGGGCTGGGGTTCTCAGTCATGGTAGTAGGTATAATGAGACTCTCACTCCTCGGTGTTTGAGAAGTAGGGGACACACTGGTGGAATCTGCCATGGATACGATACTACCGAACCCGCAACAAAACTAGTGACAATCACACACCCAGAAGGTGATGGTAAAAGAATAGGCACAATGAACACTATAAAGGCATAACAAAAAATTAAGAAACCATAAAGGTTTTTTGTTTTTGTTTTGTTTTTTTTTTCTTTTTTTTTATAGTAATTATTTATTTATTTATATATGCATTGGTACGGATACAGGCATATAGCTTATTTATTTATACATGTGTATACACGACATATATACCAAACAGAGATGAGGTCTGTTGTATACCTCTGAGAGTATACCAGACGAATGAAGATGAAGGAGATTGACGATGTGAGGAAGACGTAGCTGAGTGACGAAAGCGGCTGATGAGATCGACTGACGAGCTGACGGCTGAGTGACGATCGACAGAGGAAGGCGAGGAGATCGACGATGTGAGGAAGACGAGCTGAGGAGATCGACTGAGGAAGACGAGCTGACGGCTGAGTGACGATCGACAAAGGAAGGCGAGGAACTGAGGAGATCGACTGAGGAAGACGAGCTGAGTGATAATCCACCCAGGTAAGCTTCGAACCCTAGAGTGTCGTTGGTGTAGAGGTCTACCAACGAGGGTGAGCCGAAACCCTAGAGGTTCTGCTCTGATACCATGAAGCTTGAGTAACCAGCTTAGGGTTTGATAGAATATCATCCCCTATTTATAAATGAAGATTAGGGTTTACAAGATGAGACAATTACAAGTCGAGCCCTGGGGGCATAGACTAATTACAAACCACAAAAGCTCAGATAATAATATAATATGCTAACATCATCATCATCGTTGGTCGACCACCATAATTCCTCACCACCGTCAGTTCAACAATATGCTATGCGAACCATTGCTTATAGAATTGAGAGAGATCCAAGGGAGAGAGATCTCTGATGGGGTGAGAAAGAACAGGTTTAGAGAGAAGAACATTAGGGATGATAGGGAGAGAGTTATGCAAATTGATGAGGGTTGGTGAGTATTAATTTGTGAGGTGACTTGAAGAGAGAAATGAGGGGTTCGGGTAGGTGATGAGACGTTTGGCAGATCTGTGAGACAAAGAATGAAAGAAAAAATAATGTTACAGTGATAAAGTTATTTTGTGATTAGCTAACACGTCTTAAAGACCAACAAATTTGATAAGGTGTAATCTTGTAAACCAAATATAGTTTGACACCTGTAAAATTTATATTTAATATATAAGATGTACGGTCGGTTTGGTTTTTACAAATTTTCTGATTTTCAATCCGTTGGCTGACCGCCGATTCAAAAAATACAAGGTTTGCAACTCATAGCCGACCGTAGCAGCAGTCGAAATCATCCAATGTTCCATCAGTTCGGTCAGTTTGAACGGGTTGATCGGTTGGTTTGGTTATTTGCACAGGCCTAGGTTACATATTTAGAAACCCGATGATACAACTCCCATATATGAACTTATTTAGAAGTTTTTAGAATATCATCATCCCAAAATCATTCTGCGTAGGCTTGTTTCTATTTCTGAGTTGATCTGACCAAATTTTAACGTTCTAACCATGTGTATGTCCTCCAATATATAATAGATTTTTATAGTGTCTCTTGATTAATTTTGTGTGAATTTATTTAGAGTTATGTTTTTGTTAGAAGTGTAATTTCGTAAACAAAGTCCCTTTTGCGTAATGTTTGTTTTATGTACTGTTTCCTTCAAATGAATGTTGCAGGCAGAATATATACTGGATCTTCAAAAGCAACTTACTTTATTGGGAAGTGAATCCAAGAAGGATTCTAATGGTACCTTAACCGAGGAGGAATCCATAACTAGCATGACCCCAACGGATAAGGTCCTTATGATGTTTTTCATATGTGTTTAAGCAACTCAAAATTGGTGTTGAATGCATCTCTGCTGTCGAATCTTCTCATGTTCAACATGCATTATTCTACTGTATTTAGTTTTTCACTGCTTTTGAGATGAGTCAATTTAATTGCAGTGTGAAAAGTCTGAAACATTGCCATAAAGTCGTGTACTCATTTTTGTTGCTTCTTTCTGAAGCCCTTGGTTTTTCTCTAGTTGCTCTTTTTTTCTTTTTTAATTGTTGTTGTTTGTTGGCATTCAAAAACCTTGGAAGTAAAATAAAAAGACTGTAGTTGTGGTACCTATGTGTTAATGGTTGCAGTTTAAGAAGTACGGACACAGACACGTGACATGACACGGACACACAAATTTTCATAAAATATAGGAGACGACACATTGAGGACACATGTAAAACATGTAATTTATATATTTGTTATATGTCATATTTTTTAATATTATATATTTATTCTGTGTCAAATATTTATTCTCATCAAATTTATCAACCTTGAGTATGCTATTTCAATTTTTAAAAAAAAAAGGGTTAAAAATAGAGCGTGTCCCTAGTGTGTTCCTGGCCAACACGTGTCGTTTACTGGTATATGACCTTCGAAGACGTGTCTCTGCTTCACAGGTTGAAGTTAGTGGTGAATTAAATGATGATAATGGTGTTGTTCTTGTTCTTATTTCAATATAAATGATGGATTTTTGCTTCAAATGCTTTTGTAAATGAGATAGCATTATTTCATTTGATTTTCTTGTGCCACTTTACTCTAGAATAAATTTCATACCCTGCTGCTGACTGATTCATAAATTGTAGCTTCTTACATTGTGAATTAGACGAACTAAAAAATGTTAATTTGCTTGTATAGATACGCTCACAATTGGATGATGCCATAGCTTGCGAATGCCCATTTTGTGGTGACTTGATGATTCGAGAGATCTCTTTGCCTTTTATCCTCCCTGGAGAAGCACACGAGGCTGCTTCTTGGGAAATAAGGCCACATAACATTGGAGCCCAGAAGAGCCTTTCTTTGGCTGTATGATTGAATGCCTTAATGGATTTGTAGTGCAGGTTATCATTGATCCATGTGCATGGCTGTGTTGAGGGGGTCTTTTAATTTGTGTTTTGCTTTATCGTCTTTATTCTTGGTGGTATACAAGTTATGATTTGTGTTGCACAGAATGCATTCTTTTGTTAAATGATTATGTACATTTGAGAGGTTATATCTACTACCCTTTAGCTATCAGAGGTATCCATTACATCTCAGGTGTACTCGAGTGTATGTTCCTAATAGTTTTTGTAGGCTCATCTACAGAATTTTGACAGGGATGCGTTAATGAACTAAATCACAAGAATTCACAATAGAACACTTTTCTACGAACCCAGTGAATGTGATTTCCATTTGGAGTTCATATGATTGTGATTTCCTTCTACAAAGTCTATATTGTATTGTCTTGTCTTGACTTTTTTTTGTTTGTTTGTGTTTGTTTTTTTTTTTTTTTTTTTTTTTTTTTTTTTGAATTTCTTCCAAAATCAGTCTCATTTTTTCAATGTGTAACACCTCTACATGTATTGTTGTGAATGGAGTCCCTTTTGAGCCTTTCCACGCCCATGTTGTCTTGGTCAAGGAGACCTAAAGTTGTTCTTCCATATTTTTCATAAATGTCATGTTCCTTTGATGTAGTCATTTTTTGTACTTATTCCAATATATTCTCGATCATTATGTGAAATAAAAAATAAAAAATAAAAAATAAATAAATTACATTTATTTTTCTTGCAATTTGAAAAAAATACAGTAAGTTTTATATTTTTGATATAATTTCACTAGCCTTTTTTGATATTTTAATTCATATAAAATTTAATTTTTTTATTAATAATTTGTGAGTAGTATGAATGAGAAAAATAATATTAGTGTATTTTTTTTTATTAAATTGTATATTTATCTTTGCTTGTTTATATCTCTACTTGCTATATAGATTTGATGGCTCAAATCTACTATAACATAAATTAGTATAATTTAATTTATGAAGTCAATTGTATTTTTATTAAATTTCATGAGAGATGAGTGTAATTTATCTCAATACAAATGAATAATGAGTTAACATAATAATGATATATTTCTATAGTTAAGGTTATTAAAATGTATAAATTTATAAATATAAAATAAAAATAATATTTATTAATAATTAATATTTGTTAATAATTGAGATAGAGATAGGAATGGTAATTGGGGAGACAAAAGAGGCGGCGAAAATAGAAAGGCACGCTAACAATCATGTAAAGCACGAGATCAGACGCAAGTGCATCCAGCTGCAGCCGACGGACTTGACTCTCTCTCCTCACACCACCCCAACTCTTCCATAATCCTCATCAATAAGTAATGTGTCCTTGATTGTACTATTTAAAAAATCATTTATATATTACATTTTATTTATTTTATAAAATATAATTGTATTAGTTTAATGAATCTTACTATTCACATATATTATTAATGTAATTATAACTCATAAGATAATGAATAAAATATGAATATAATTATTTTTGTATTATTGTTATTAAAATTACTCTGATTTTATATAAGAAAAACTACAAGTAATTGACCAAAACTAATTATAATGCATAGGAAGCAAGTCATTTTTATGTAGAAAAATACTCAAAATTACACACCACAAAGATTGTTACTTTTTTTTGTAATAAAATGTTTCACCTTTCTTTTACATTCTTTATTCTTGAACTATCAATTGAATTTGTTACGTTTTTAAAATATTTAATTTAAATTTATTCAATTCCTAAAAAATTTTTACAAAAATATTTAAATTCATAAACATTATAAAATAATAAAATATTCTACTTAGATTTTATTCCGAGTCTCGACACGCCCCACCGCTTTATTTGTGGAGAAAATTCACCTCCTCTTTGCCTTTTATCCTCCCTGGAGAAGCATACGAGGCTGCTTCCTGGGAAATAAAGCCACATAACATTGGAGCCCAGAAGAGCCTTTCTTTGGCTGTATGATTGAATGCCTTAATGGATTTGTAGTGCAGGTTATCATTGATCCATGTGCATGGCTGTGTTGAGGGGGTCTTTTAATTTGTGTTTTGCTTTATCGTCTTTATTCTTGGTGGTATATGGTTTCAACAAGTTATGATTTGTGTTACACAGAATGCATTCTTTCTTTTGTTAATTGATTATGTACATTTGAGAGGTTATATCTACTACCCTTTAGCTGTCAGAGGTATCCATTACATCTCAGGTGTACTCGGGTGTATGTTCCTAATAGTTTGTTGTAGGCTCATCTACAGAATTTTGACAGGGATGCGTTAATGAACTAAATCACAAGAATTCACAATAGAACACTTTTCTACGAACCCAGTGAATGTGATTTCCATT